CCTGGAGTCTTGTGTGTCGTGGTTCAATAGCCACTTTGTGATCCCTTCTTTGCTCGATGCAGCCCAGAATTATGGAACTGGAGGTGGAAAAGCATGTAGACAAGGAAGAGACACCCTTCAGTCCCTTCATTTCTTTGCAAATTCATGCATTCTTCCTTTTGTTCAAAGGATCTTAACTGAGCTCTTATTATAAAATATACGTAATATATAAATGAGACTAAGAAAGTACCTGTCCTGGAATTTCATCCAAGAAGGGAAGATGAATAATAATTGGCTAAATACATCACTGTGGGTTGACTTATGTCTGCCCAAAAGTTCATGTGTTGGGGTCCTGACCCCCAATGCCTTGGAATCTGACCATATTTGGAGATAGTGGCTTTAAAGAGATAATTAAGTTAAAGTGAGGTCATTAGAGTGGACCCCAATTTAATACAACTGGCCTCTTTATAAGAAGAGGAAATTTGGACAGAGGTACAAAAGCAAGACCGTGTGAGGACAGCCATCTGGGGACCAAGAAGAGAGGCCTCAGAAGAAGCCAACACTGCTGACATCTTGGTCTCAGACTTCCAGCCTCCAGAACTGTGAGAAGATAAATTTCCATTGTTTAAGCCACCTAGTCTGTGGTACTTTGTTACGGCAGCCCCACTAAATGAATCCAAACATAACTATATAATTTCAGGTAGTGACCAATTCTACAAAGAAAAATAACAGAGGGTAAGGGCGCAGCCAGTAGCAAGTCTGCATTAGACAGGGTGGTCAGCGATGTCTCTCTGAGGTGGTGATACTGGATCAGAGACTTAAATAATGCGAGGAAATGAGAGATATGAAGAGCTGGTGAGAGAATACTCCAGGGTGAGGAGACAGCAGTGCATGAGGCTCTGAGGAAGAAATGAGCTTGGAGTGTCAGGAACGGCAAAGAGGCTGATGAGACCAGAGCAGAGAAAATGGTAAGAGATGAAGTCACACGGTGGCCAGGAGCCAGGCCACGTAAGGCTTTGGGGCCACGTTCTTCTAGTAGTAGAAATTAGTTGGTGTCTTTTGATCTGGGGAGGAATCATGATCTGATTTATGGTTTTAAAATATCACTCTGGCTGTTTTGTGGAGAATTGACTTGAGAAGGGTAAGAGGAGAAGCCTGAAGAATGGTCAGGAGGCCACAGAAATTATCTCAGGGAAATATGGGGTGGCTTGGGTTAAGGTGGTGGGGAAAGTGGAGGGAAGTGCTTGTGTTCAGAATATACTCTGGAGATGGTGCCAATAGAATTCGCTGATGGAATGGATGTGAGGCATAAAGACGGCAGAAGAACCAAACATGACTTCTAGATTTTTGGTTTAAGCCAGGAGTCAGCAAACTATGGCCTGTGGGCCACATAGTAAGTATTTACGGCTTTCTGGGCCGTACAGTCTCTGTCACAACCACTCAATTCTGTAGTGCAAAATCAGCCAAAGTCAACAAATTAATAAATGGAGTGGTTGTAGTCCAGTATAACTTTATTTATGGACATTGAATTTTGAATTTCATGTAATTTTCACATGCACGAAATACTATTCTTCTGATTTTTCTTCCCCAACCATTTAGCTCATGAGCTGAACAAAAACAAGTGGCAGGTAGGATTTGGTCCATGAGTCGTAGTTTACTGACCCCTGGTCTTGACACATTAGCTTTGTGGCAAGAATCTAACCAAATGCCTTCATATCTCATCTTTTCTACTTAACCTTATGATGTAGGTATTATAATCCTCACTTTACAGGTGGGAAAATTGAAACCTAGAGAGTGGAGCTTGGGTCTGAGCCCAGCCAGGTCTACGCAATAAACTACTGTCTTAGCCACGCCATGATTCCTCCTCCCTGATCCAGCCTGACTTCTTGATTTGACCTAAAAAGACACACGTGATCTGGCCCCTGCCTGCTTCTTCAGCCTCCTCTCAAGCTGCTCTTCCCACCCTCTGGCAATATGAAGGAGGACTTCTTTCAGGTCTTTAAATGCCCCAAACTCTTTCAAGCCTCAAGATCTTTAGGCTTGGAATAATTTTCTGCTAAGCCCTTCCTGAGCCTGCCCTGCACATCCTCATTCCTCACCTCTCTGCTTAAATTACAATTACAATTCCCCAGGAAAGCTTCCCCTGATCATTGCCACCTAAGTCTACAACGGGTCTCCCTGTTATACATTTTTCTAATACTGTTCACTTCTTATTTATAGCACCCATCACAGCTGGTAATTAGCAATACATATTGATTGATATGAGAATCGTCTATTTATCTAATTTCTATCTCCCCCACTAGACTATAAATCTACCAGGGCAGCAAACTTGTCTGCCTCATATCTCTAAAACATGGAACACCTGGCATATACACCATGACATATACCTAGGAGAGAAACAATATATCCTAAACACATCCCTTTACCTAGGGAGACCTCAAAAGCCCAACCTGCCCCAGTCCCTGATACTTAACATAACCATAGTAATTACAACCTCAAATCCACCCTCACTTTAATTTGGTTATATAATTTGAAACATTTTTGTGACCAAAGCTTTCATAAAACACTTTTATATCCACAACTCCTGGTGCATCCCCAGCAATAATGCGGGTGTGAGTACAATAGTAACACCAGCAGCAAATTCCTACCAAGCTATAAATTCCATAATAAGGGATCATCATCTTGATCTTCATCATTCTATCCCCAGTGGTACCTAGCATAGCATCTAGCACTTACTAGATATTAAAAAAACTTGTTAAATAAATGGATGGATGAACAGATGAATAAATAGACGGTCAGAGGTAGGGCAGGAGGAAGGGAAAGAGGATGGAAAGGAAGGAAGGAAAAGAAGTTGGGACTCCAACCCAGATCTTTTTGATTCCCTGTCGATGTCATTGGGCCATCTCTTGTGCCAGTATATAGGTCTCTCTCCATGCTGTGGTCACATTGGCTTTCTTTCAGGACCTCAAGTTTACCAAGTGCTCTCTAGCTTGGTTACCCGTGATTTGACATCTTCAACGTCACCTCCTCAGAGAGGCCCTCTCTAACGCCCTGCAGTTAACAAGTGTTCTCTCTGCATACTCTCAGAGCACTTACTACAGCTTGTAATTATGGGATTACTTGTATTATTTCTGTGTCACAACTAGATGATAATCTCCATGGTGACAGGCATTTATCTGTCCTGTACACTTGTATAGTATTACATACACACACATGTAACATTGTATGTATATATAATATAAATATATGTACATATATTCATATATATGTATGCCAAAAAATTAAATGAACTAATGAATAAATGAATAAAAGAACAGGGGATGACTGACTTTTCCCTTTTATCTAGGGAAATCTCTAAGGCAACAAAAGAACTGTAAGAATGCAGTCATTATTATTTTCCATTCATGTGTGCTCTTCAAACACACATCATGTCTCTTGGCCTCATCTCACACCAGGCCTCTACCTCACTCATTAATCAAGGCTACCATGTATAATTGTGCAAGCTTGTCCTGCTTTATGCTCTGATCTTCATGCTGTTCCTCAAACATGCCAAGTCTTTTATACCCTTTGTTCATGCTATTTCATCACCACATTACTACCACCACCATCACCATCATCACCACCACTATCACCGTGACCACCGTGACCACCACTATCACCAATACAAACATGACCATCACCACCACCACCATAATCGGTTGCCACAATTGTCGCCACCATACTTTGAATAATTTCCATTTATCCTTCAATTATCAGCTTAAATATCACTTTCCTGGGGACTTTCTCTGACACGCCCTCACCACCAGTGTGAACCCTTAATATACTTTATCATTACTCTCACCGCAATTATAGTTGAATGATTACATGTGTAGTTATTGGTCACAGTCTATCTTCACCAGAATCTAGGCTCTATGAGAGCAGACACAGTGTCTGCCTTATTAAATCTTGTATCTCCAGCTCTTACATTTCCTGGAACATAGTAGGTGCTCATAAACACACAAAGAATAAAGAAATAAAGCTTATATAATGAATGACTTTCCTATTCACCTTAGAAAACATTTGATCCAGTAAGGAAACCAAGGCCCAGAAAATAAAAGGAATCTCCTCAAGGTCTCACAGTGATTTAGTGCACAGCCTAGGCTAGAACCTAGACCACTTGAGCCCCCGTTAAGCATTCGTTCCACCATGCCACACTCTCAGACGACAAAGACCCCACAAGAATATAGTTCCCAAAATGCAATGATGCACTGCAGTAAAAAGACTTGCTTTTAAATAAGAAGACCTAGTTTAAGGACCTATCTCTGCCATCATTGGTTGTGTTACCATAAGTAATTAATCTAACTTTTCTGAACCTCAATTTTCTTATCTGTAAAATGAAGAATAGTAATCTCTATGTAGCAGAGCTGTTGTAAGGATTTGAGCTAGATGTAGAATAAATTAAAGTTTTTATTATTATTCAGGACTATATTTCACAAAATGTAGCACTTACTTTGGACCCTCAACTCCAAGACTGCAACAATCCCCAGGTTTAAATTAAAAAGACTGTTTTGGAGACACTTCAATTCCTGACCAATGACAGGACTTGGAACCCTCTTCCATCTTTGAGCCTAGGACAGCCCTTGGGCTTCCCTGACCTCCCAATATGCAACAGTGCTTGGGGACTCCGGGTCGAAATCTAAAACACTTTTTGGAGAACCTCCAATTCCCAACCAACAACAGGGCTTAAAACTCTTCCATTTTTGCTACTTCTATAGTTTTGAGCTTTCTCCAATGCCCAGTATGCAACAGTGCATAGAGACCCCACCTCCTGTCATGCAACAGTGCTTGGAGACTGCAGGTCAAAATCTAAAACAGTGTTTGGAGAGCCTCCAGTCCTAAGCCAACAACAACGGGCTTGGAATTCTCTCGTCTTTGAGCCTACTATGGCCCTTGGGTACCACCACCCACCTCCCAACAGGCAACAGTGCTTGGAGATCCTCCCAGCATGAAATGTCCTCAGCCTTCAGGCTCTCAACCCTTACCTGAGAGGCCAAAGCAAATGGCTCCCACGCGGAGCAGGAAGTCTGCACCTTTACTGAGCACCATGATGACACAGAGGCACCCCAAGGCCATGACTGCCAGGCCCAGCACTGCTATCACCGCAGCTGCCAGATTTACCTCTGTGAGGAGGGGAGAGAGAAGAAGCAGAGAACACAGGATATAGAGAGTGGGAAGGGTCGCATTATAGGGACCCAGAACCAGGAAGATGGAAGATTTGGGACTAGAGAAGAATTTTCAAGTGGAAGATTATTGAGTCTAACATTTTACTTATTTTTTTTTTCCTTTTTGTCTTTTTTCGTGACCGGCAACGGATCGCAACCCTCAGTGTTGCGCCCGCACCTCGCTCAGCCAGTGAGCGGCCGGTCTGTATGTGGGATCCAAACCCTCAGCGGGAGTGCCGCCGCACTCCCAAGTGGCACACTGTAGCAGTGCGCCACCGGGCTGGCCCCTAACATTTTACTTATATGAGGGTACTTTTGAAAGTTCATGGAAAGATTCATGGTATCTTAATTTTTTTTCCACAGACTTTTTGAAGTGCCCTCATACTGGTTTTCTGGTGTTTTTTTAAATTGGTTATGAATATTCATGGGGTACAAAGCTGATTGTCACCACTTGTGCCCAAGATGTGATGGCCAGATCCATACTGGCAGCATGCCCATTACCACAAATTGTGATTATACCCTGTGTCCCCCACCCAATTATCCCCCCAATTATCCCCGACCTCCCTTCCCATCCTCCTTTCCCCCACCCCACTTCGTATCCTTAGGTATGTTCTCTCCCTCTGCAAGCCCAATGCACCACTGTGGTATTTCTTTCCTTCCTTATTTCTCTCTTAGCTCCCACTTATGAGTGAGTACATGTGGCATTTTTTCCTCTGTGCTTTGCTTAGTTCAAAAAGATGGAGAATAACAAATAGTGGTGAGGGTGTGGAGAGAAGGGAACGCTCCTGCACTGTTGGTGGGACTGTAAATTAGTACAACCTCTATGGAAAACAGTATGGAGGTTTCTCAAACAACTACAGACAGATCCTCCCTATGATCCAGCAATCCCACTTCTGGGCATATACCCAGAGGAATGGAAATCATCATGTCAAAGGGATACTTGTTCATCGCAGCTCTGTTCACAACAGCCAAGACATGGAACCAACCTAAATGTCCATCGATGGACAACTGGATAAGGAAATGTGGAATATATACACCATGGAATACTAGTTTGCCATAAAAAAGAATGAAATTCTCCCATTCGCAACAACATGGATGAGCTTGGAGAAACTCACGCTGAGTGAAATAAGCCCCATACTGCTGAAGGAACTAAGACTCGGAGAGGGTCATTTATTTGCCTAAGGTTACAGAATAAAGAGGGTACAGAATCAGGATTAGAAGGAGATGGGAATTACCAATTGATACTTTTGATCTTGTCATTATTTGTTTACAGGTGAGGAAACTGAGGCAGCTGGGTGTGTGGGAGACAATGAAGAAAGTGGTATGTTATAGTGGAATGACCCAAGTCAGAATTCTCCCTAGGTACTTCCTAGCAGGAAGATTCTGGTAAAGTCTCTGAACCCCTCCCAGCCTCCGTTTCCTCCTCTGGAAAATCAGGATCAAAATCCCTATCTGGGGCCGGCCTGTGGCTCACTTGGGAGAACATGGTGCTGACAACACCAAGTCAAGGGTTAAGATCCCCTTACCAGTCATCTTTAAAAAAAAAAAAATCCCGGGCCGGCCCGGTGGCGCACTGGAGAGTGCGCCGCTTGAGAGCGTGGCGGCGCTCCCGCCGAGGGTTCGGATCCCATGTGGAGACCGGTTCCCGCTCACTGGCTGAGCGCGGTGCGGGCGCAACACCGAGGGTTGCAATCCCGTTGCCAGTCCCCGGTACGGGCGCGACACCAAGGGTTGCGATCCCATTACCGGTCAGTAAAAAAGACAAAAAGGAAAAAAACAAATCCCTATCTGACTAGGCTGTTGTGAGGATTAGAAATCACCTATGTAAAGTTCCCAGTGTAGTGCTTGGCACATGGTAGGTGTTCCATACAAGTGCACCAGGATTATCTCGCTATTCCAGAGGTAAGAGAGAAGGCATGGAGAAGGCAAGGAACCACCATTTATTGAAGACCTTCTGTGTACAGTGTATGTTTTAGCTCCATCACCTCAATAAATCCTTACAAAGACCAGATAAGATTCATGACATGATCACAATTCCTTTACTGGTGGAGACATCGAGGCACTGGGGTGACTGAGAGGCTGTGGTTACAGTAGAAAGGGGAAAGTCTCCAGAGTTGCATTGTCCAGCACAGTAGCCATTAGCCATATGTGTCCTTTTAATTCTAAATTAATTTAAACTAAACAAAATTAAAAATTCAGTTTCTCCATCCCACCAGCCACATCGCAGGTGCTCAGTAACCACATGTGGCCAGTGGCTACCATATGGATCAGAATAAACATAACACATTTCCATTTTCACAGAACATTTTCTATAGGAGAGTGCTGCTTTAGAGTCAGACTTATCTGAGTTTGGATGATACCTCTGCCACTTTCTGGGAAAAATAAATTTAACCATTTCTGGACTTCCATGTTTCTCACCTGGAAGATAACAATAAAGTCCCTGCCTGCAAGGTTATGGCAAAGACTGGACACTGTATAAATGAAACACCGGCTCCATGCTTACCATGTGATGGGTTCATGTTTGTGAGATGTTAAAGTGGTATCTACAGAGGGAGGCTGTGATTTGCCCAAAGTTACACAGCATGTGGCATAGGCAAGGCTGGGAGAGGGGGCATCAGGCAAAGAAGGGCTCTGGAGAACCACACCCCACCATTAATTCTACTGCCACCACTCTCCCAAAACGGGACATCCACAGATTATAGAAGCTGAACCCACCGTGGGATAAAGCAGAAGGCGGGACAATGCTATCCAAATCTCCCCTATTGTGGCCAGAATATCTCCCCACTCCTCTACCACTATGGGGTGAAAAGTTCTCACCTTTCTTTGTGGTTCTCTGGAAGATGCATGCATTCTCCCCCGTGGTGAAAAATTTAAAGTAGGTGCAGTTTGCTTCTGTGGGAGCAGGAGAGAGAAAAGGGGAGGTGATGACATGAGGTCCCTTGTGTAAGCTCACAGTTGGACACTTAACATAGCTAACAGGAGCCTAAAAATAGGACATTAAGATCCCCAATATACGTAGGACAAAAATGATGCTAGGAAACATATAAACCACCTACTATCACACAGCCATCCAGCAGCTGGGATTCCAACCCAGAGCTTAGAGGTTCAGATCTGTGGTTTTGAGTAGGCCATTAACCTCTCTGGGCCTCTGATTCTTCCTCTATAAAATGAGATAATAATCTCTTTTCTGGCTCCTTTGTGTGGGTTTGTTGAGTGTTAAGTGGGATTAGAAATGGATCATCACTTTATTCAACAAAGGACACCAAGAAACAGGTAACAGAAGGCTAAAAAACTCAGAAAAGATTCCTGTCTCAGAAAGGATTCCCATCTAGAATACACAAATAGTTCCTGCAGATTAGCAAGGAGAGAGATAACACAGTTGAAAAACGGGCAAAGGATATGAATAGTAATTCACAGAAGAGGAAGCTAGGGTAACTTACAAGTGCATGAAGAGATGCTTCACTTCACCAGGGATCAGAGAAATGCAACTTACATCAGCAGGGAGGTGCCACTTCTGATCAATTAGATTGGCAAATATTAAAAGAGTAATATCAAGTGCTGGAGGAGAAGAGGAAACAGCTGGAAGTATAAACTGGTACTAGTCTTTTGGAAAGCTCCCTGACATACTTTATGAAATGAAGTGTGTTTCGGCCCTATTATCCAACAATTTTACTTCTAGGTAAATATCCAGAAAAAACACACACCCACACCCACACACACACAGGGAACATATATGTGGATGCTCACTGCAGCATTGTTTACAAATAGCACGGAGTCAGCATCAACCTAGGTGTCCATCTCTAGAAAAACAGACAAGTAAATGTGACAGATGCTCCCTGTGGAAATCTCTGCAGCACATGGTAGCCAAGCACCAGAATAGCATAAAGCAAGACAGAGAGATCAGGATACACAGTGTTGAATTAAAGAAAGAAAGAAAGAAAGAAAGAAAGAAAGAAAGTAAGAAAGAAATTCAAAAAGTCGAAATCTATAGCATGATATAATTTGTGCAAAACACATATGTATATAAACTAACAATATATTTTTTCCAAGTCAAAGTATATATCCATGAGTGTATACCAAAAACATTAAAGAGATGAGTTAGGAAGAAATTAAAAAAAAAAAAAAGAATAATAATGTAAAACAAAACACAGGAAGGATCTTGCAAAGGCTAATAATGGTCTTGTGACATAAACTGAGGAGTATGATTCATGCAACTTTGTGTAGTTGAGGTCCAAAACTTTAAACTTTTTTTTAAAAAAAGGCATTTTCTAAACTGAATTTTAGAGCCATTACATCCTTTTGAATTCACCTAGTCTAACCTACTCTCTTATTCTACAGATGGGGAAACTGAGGGACAGAAAGAGAGAAGAGAGGTACAGAATAATAGAGGTAAAGGAAATAGGAAAGGGGCCAGGCAGTCTGGAGAAGCAGAAAAGGAACTTTCTAAATAGAAGAAAAATGTGAAGGAACAAGAGATAAACTGAGGAGTCAGGTGAAGTGGTGTGGAACTGGGGAAGGAGAAGGGAGAGATGTCAGGTCAGGAGTAGTGGCAGGTGTGAGTTCTTACCCTAAGCAGCAAGAGGTAAAGGATGCTCAATGTCACAGAGCAGAGGGTGAGGATGTTCTTCGTAGCAGTCGGTGGGAGAAACATGGTCTACATCCATGAGGGAAGTGTGAAGTCCCTTCTGGAACAGTCTGGAGTGTCTAGCATCCCATTTTAGCTACTTAAAATTTAGGACATCCTGCTTCTTGACTACCAATGGATATAGCATATACCATTTGGAAAAACATAGGGTGTGGGTCATTCCCCTCGCAGCCAAGGGGGTATGGGATGTCTTTTGATGGGCAGTGGGAAGTGTGGGACATTTCTCTGAGATAATGAAGATTACATATGAGTCATCCTCTGAGGGGCTGGGATTGCGGGATGATGGCTACGGCCCTGTAAGGTGGTTGAAGACCTTTTGAACAATACAGAGAGCAGCAAGGGATGTGAGGGACCCCATCTTATGCAGTGAGGTGGGATGAGACATCTTTGGTGCAAGGACCTTTGGGACATTTTTATGGACTAATGAGATGCGATATAGTGTAGGTATTAGGAACAGAGCAAAGTATGTTTCAAATCTCATATAAACTGCCTGGATACATAGATTGACCCACTAAAACTTCCTGCTCATTTTTGTCTTCTGTAGAATGGGGGTGATAATAGCTACTTACGGGGTGGGTATGACGATTAAGGAGTTCATGCATGTGAAGTCCTTAGAACACAGCCTAAGTACCACATAAGCATCTAATATTTTTATTACTGGAGCATCCCATCTTGCTATCAAAGGCTTGGGACATCCTACGGGTGTAAGATATAACATCTGGAGAAGTGAAGAACGAAGGAAACCCCATCTGGAGCCCAGAGGAATAGGAGATATACTATGAGGGGCACTGAGATTACAGGACGTGCTTTGGAGAGTAAGAGTGTCAGAGACCTTGTATGGGTGATCAAACAAAGGCGCTCTAGTCCTGAATGGACTCTGAGGGGTGTTAGATATTTTCCTTGAGTCAGAAGAGGTAGAGTGAGATCACATCCTGGTCCCAAGGAGCAGAGGATGTCCCAGTGGTATAAGTAGAGGGCGTGGCATGTCCTGTCCGAGAGTGAGACATATGGGGTAGCTCTCTGGCACAGCCAGGGGTGAAAGAAACACTCTGTGAGAAAGTGAGGAGTGCGAGTTGTCTGAAGAGAACATGAGAAGGGTTGGAATGTCCAATCTGGGCATTCAGAGGTGAGGACAGAAAATGAAGAACATTTCCCGGGACGCATGAGGTGCTCCCTGGGATGCTGGGAGGTGTCTGTGGAGAGCTCTGTTGGGTGGAACCAGTAGGTGGGAAACACGCATAGACTCTACTTTGGGGTGGGCATCAAAGCGGTCTGTCTCCTGAGAGCTCACCGGATGGGAGTACAGACTGTCTCCAGGCCGGGAAGAACAAACTGCCACCAGCAACCCAGACTGTCTCTCTAGGGGCACAGGTTATCTGTGGGCACAAGCACAGAGGGCACAGGCTGTCTCAGGGGTGCAAGTGTTTCTGGAGGATGCAAGCTTTCTGGGGAGGGCACAGGCTGTTTGAGGGCACCAAATGCATCTGGAACCATGGACAGGGTCTGGGGACAGACTGTGTGTGGAGACACAAAGTTTCTCTAGGAACACAGGCTCTCTCTGGGAGTACACACTGGTCTGGGGACCCAGTAATGCCTGGAAACATTGGCTGTGTTGGGGGCAGGAGCTTTGGGGGTCATAGGATGATCTGGGGGCACAGGCTGGTCTTAGGGGTACAAGATGGTTTAGGGGTACATGCTGGTGTAAAGATATGGGCTGGTCTGGGAGTACATGCTGGTGTGGGGGCAGAGGCTGTAGCTGGGGACACAGGCTGGTCGGGGGGTACAGCATGGTCTGGGGGTATAGGCTGCTCTGGGGCACAGACTCCCCTTGGGGGCTTAGACTCCCTCCGGGAGCACAGGCTGATCTTGGGGTACATGCTGTAGCTGGAAGACAAGCTCTAAGGCACAGGTTCTCAGGAAGTAAGCCAGTGAGACACAGGCTACGGCTGGGGTGCTCTTTCTCTCTCCCACTCAATCTATCTCTTCCTCTCTCATCAGTTTCTGGAAGCACAAGCTGACCAGGGCACAGGTTCTTTCTGGGGTGCAATCTCTCCCCTTGGGGTTCAGAGTCTGTCTGGGGACACGGGCTGTGTCTGGGGCCTCCCCTCCTGCCTGTGGGCCATTAGAGTCAGGGCGGCAGCCTCTCACCTCCGGGCAGCTCCGCGGGGCCGCAGGTCTCTCTGCCCGCCGGCACGTCGGCCTGCCACAGTCTCTTGGTGCACACCTTCCACAGCCCCATGTGGGCAGCGTCGCACACGGCACTGCCGTTGGCCTTGTAGGTGTTGAGCTCCACCCAGAACTCGGTGCCCACGGACAGCACTGACAGCGTGGCGCCCACGGTGGCCACCAGCAGCGCCAGCTTGATCTTCCCCTGGCGCTCCGGCGACAGCCCGGCCTGCTGCTGCCCGCGAGCCCTCCGCAGGCCCACGGCCGCCCGCCGCCGGTCCTCCTCTTGCATGAAGAAGTTGGACCACATCATCCTCCTTATGGCCGCTGGGGTCCGGGGCAGGTGCAAACGAGGCAGGGCTGGGGAGGGGTCTCGAGGAGCGGGAGGGAGGCCGAGTGTGGAGCTGTCTGGGGTCGTAAAGGGGGTGAGGGGCTCAGTGTTCACTGGATTCTTTGAGATCCGAGTCCGCGCTGAAACCTCGCCTCTGGGGCTTAGCAGAGAAACAACGAGACCCCCAGGCTGGGAAAGCCTCCGAGGTTCAGAGAGCCACAAGAACGCAGCGAAGAACGTCGGACCCAGAGGAGAAGCTGCGGCTCGGAGACCGGACCTGGATACCCACGCGGGGCGCCTGAGGGCGCCAGAGGAAGGAAAACCACGTCCCCGATCAAGCTCGGAGGGGCTGCTCTGGGGTCCCCACTGGGAAGAACCACAAAGGGAACACTGAGTTCCCGGAGCAAAGGGATCTGAGCACCCGCGAGGGCTCAGAGTTTGGGGTACCCAGGAAGGGGAGCGGAGACCCTCTGTGTGCTCAAGAGGAGATGTGGCCGGGGTTCCTCAGGGCTCAGAGTTTGAGAAGAGTGTATCCTCTGGGGTTCAGAAAAGGAAAAACCGTGTCCCCAGGGGAGCTCAGAAGACGAGGTTGGAATTCAGTGTGAGTCTCAAGAGAGGCAGTGGGGTTCCCCAGCATTCATAGAAGGTGAACAGTCCTGGCTGGGGTTCAGAGAAGGACTGGATACCCGCAGGAATTCAGGGGGGAAAAGATGGGGGTCTCCCCAGCCACTCAGAGAAAAGACCAGAGAAGGTCTCTACTGAGGCTGAGAAAGAGGATCGGCGGCTGGGAGACAGCGGAGTCCAGACACGGGGGCTCCGGAGGGAGACCGGGGTCTCCACCGGGGCTCAGACCAAGGGGCTGTGGTCCGCACGGAAGCTCAGAGATGGGGACAAAGTACCCTCGGGGTCCTAAGGACAGCTGGAGCCCGGCAGGGGCTCCGAGTCTCTTTGGGATCAGTCCGCTCCCCCTTCCCCGGGCTCCCAGGGCCTGCCCAGCCGGGACGGCTCCAGGCTCAGCTCCAGGCTCGGCTCCCCCCGCAGGCCGCCCACCCCGTCCCCCGGGTCGGGGCCCCTCTAGTCTCCTGCCTCGGCGCCGCGCCGGCCCCAGCTCAGCTCAGCGTCCCGCCCGTCCGGCTCTGCAGCCCACGCCTGCTCCGCCCGCGGCCCCGCCGCTCCGCGCTCTCCCAGCCTCGGCCCCCTCCGCCCACCCCCGCACCCTCCGGGGCTATTTCGGGCTCGACCCGTAAATAATACCTGCACCTGTCGCCCAGCGCCTGTTGCCATAGGGACCCCGGGTATTTTAAGGGGACGAGGGGGGAGGAGGGAAGCTGCCCCGGGAGGAGGGGCTGGGCGCCGGGTCTTGAAGGGGCTGGAGCCTGAAGGGACTTTCATTTCCTGAAGGAGCTCGAGTGGAGGCTGAGTCCGCGCTCCAGAACTTCCGCAGGGGCGGGAGAGGGGGCAGGGCAACGAAGCAGGACTTCTGGTCCGGAGTAGGCCGGGCTGGGAACTGACTTGCTGGGTTACCGAGGGAGGCGGGGCTGGGAGGCAGAACCCCTGGGTCGGAGGGAGGCAAGAGTCGGGGCCTGGAGTCTTGGGGCGCTGCAGGAGGAGAAGCTTCGGGACCTGAGCTGATGCATATTAGGGGAAGGGGGCCTGGGGACCCAGAATCTTGGATCTGAGTGAACAGGGATCTAGGAGTCGGGTCTCCCGGGTCTTGAAGAAGGAGGGGGCTGAGGTTTTGGTGTCCGAGGGAGGAGGGGGCCGGGGACTCAAGCGTCTGCGTCTGAGGCAGAAATTAGCAGACAGCCTGGACTCAAAGGTCCTGAAAGAGGAGGGGCCTGGGTCTGAGGTAGGAGGACCTGGGGGCCTGGACTCTTGAGTCTGAAGGAGGAGGATCTGGGGACCTGGACTCCTGGGTCTGAGGGAGGAGGTGCCCAGAGACTTAAGTTTCTGGGTTGGAGAGAGGAGAGGACTGGAGGTCTGGAATGCTGGAAGAGGGGTTTGGGGGACCAAACTCTTGGGCCTGGGAGAGGACGATACTGGGGCCGTATCACTGAGTCTTTACGGATGGAAGGGCCAATACTAGGTTGGGGTTTTCAGCTCCCCAGGAGGTAGAAAGGGCAGGCCTCATGGAGGGGCCAGGTGTCCAGGCACTGGAACGAAAGTAGCAGTCCTCTTCATCGAGTTTATTAGACAGGGCACCCCTGGGGGACCTTCCATGCAGTTTCAGCTCCCCCAGGGGCAGTGACGAGTGACAGCCGTGTGGCATGGCAGCAGGGCCTCATCTTCAACCCCTCACCCCCTTGCTCAGCCCTTCTGTGGATGGCCCAGGTGGGACCCACCTTTCACCAACTCCTTCTTCACCCAAGGTTGGCTGCTCCAGGCAGGCCTGGTACCCGACCTGACCAGGGATCTGGATCACCCTGGCCTTGTCTGTCTATCCCTGCTCTGGCCTCTTCTGCTGGGCCCACATTGCCCTAGGATGTGATTGTCTATGTCCGGCTCTCACACAAGACGGGGGCAGGGGCCAGGTACAGGAGGGATTTATCTTGCATCCTGAGCACTAGCCAGTACAAGGCCAGGTACACAGGTGGCTTTTTAAAATGTGCATTAGGACTGGCCGGTTAGTGCACGTGGTTAGAGCTTGGTGCTGATAACCGCCAAGATCATGGGTTCAGATCTCCGTACCGACCGGCCACCAAAAAAGAAGGGAAAAAAAGTGCATGAGGTGACTTGAATGAATGAATGAGTGAATGAGTCAATGAATGACCTGGTGAAGTGAGATGATGACACACAGACATTCTCTCCCAAGCTAAGGAAGGTGCCTGCTGCATTTATTCGATGTCTGCATGCCCATCAGAGCACACCTCCCTCTATATTCTAATTGTGCCACCTGTTTCTCCAGCAAGGGCAGAGACAGAGGCAGATGCAACTCTGAGATTGCAAGGCCCAGCACTTGGAAGTCCTCATGAAATATTTCTGAGGACTGAATGAATTTTCATGTCTGAAAATGAAGGAAACCTGCTCCTTCCCTTCACCTCACTGGATCTTCCCAGGTCTTGAGAAGATCCAGAGGGGGAATACCAGAAAACGCCCGGTGCTGGCAACAGCAAGATAGCTGGGCAGTGCAGGCCAGGCAAGGAGATCCACCAGAGCCACATCTTACAGCCTCACCTCCTCCCTGCCCTCTGAATTCATCTTCCCCTCCTGGCCCTGGGTGCCCCCATCTTTCTCAATCCTGCCTGCTATAACAGCTCTCTAATTTCATGGTGTATTTTTCTGTCTTCCATTTTCCTGTCTGCATGTCTCCCCTTCCTTTCTGGGTCATTTGCTGATGGAAAAAAAAAATTTTTTTTTGCCTGGATTCCCTTTCCCTTAGTCTACCCCAACCCCCACATGTTCTCTCTCCTTTCCACTCCAGCAGGGCTTCCATCCCCACCAATGCACTGAAATGATCTCTTAATACCGTCAATCACGTCCATTGTATCAAGCTTAATGGTTGCTCTGCTCTCTGGATCTTTCTCCAATTCTCAGCAGCCTTCAGCACAGCTGGCCATCTCCTTCTCTTCTGTGCTTTTACCCTCCATGACTCCCCTGCTTTCTGCCTACCTCACAGTCACTCCTCTCTGCTCCCTTTGCTATATCCTTATCCCCCCCCCCAAAGTAGATGACCCCAAGGCTCTGGCCAGGATCACGTCTCTGTTCACATTCACCTCCTAGGTCACCTCATCCAGTCCTATGGCTTTAAATACTTCCTATATGCTGATGTTTTAAAAGAATATCTTTCCAGCCATGACCTCTCTCCCAACCTCCAGTCTCATGTATCCAACTGGCTACTTGATACACCAACTTGGATTTCTCCAACTTGACATATCCAAAAGAGAACGCTTGACTCCTCTTATCCAAATCCTGTTTCCTTACCTCAGTTTCCCCTTCCCTGGCAATACACAGCAGCACCCACCCAAGATGTACAAGCCTAATTCAGAGAATTCCTCTCTTCCCCTTATCTTGGTTTCTCATCTCCCCCTCCCCCCCATGACATCCAATATGCCACGACTGTAGGCTCTGCCTCCAAAATTACATGCCCAATTTTCCATTTTCCTCCATCACCACTGACTCTGCCTTGGTCCGGGCCACCGTCAGCCTCAACTGGATGAGGACAACAGCCCCCTAATTCCTTGCTTCCACTTTTGACTCCTGACATCTGTTCTTAGCACAACAATGTGATCGTTATCAATTTGCTTAAATAAAAATATAAGCATGGCATGCCTGTGCTCAAAGCACTCCAACGGCCTCCCATCAGATCTAAATAAAATTCAAATTTCTTCCCAGGGCTACAAGGCCCTACATGATTGGCACCCACTCTGCGTGTCTGACTTCATCCCCAGTTTGCCCCACCTAGTTTACGCTGCCCACCCCACGAGCCTTCTCAAAAACCTGTTACTCCTCAGGGCTTTTGTGCTGCCTTTGAGGGCCAAAATGCTTGTCCCCCAGATGTTCTCAGCTCCCTTTCCTTTTCACAATCCATGTCTCAGTTCAAATGTTACCTCTGCAGTGAGGTTTTCTCCAAGTACCTTATCTAAAGTTCCCCTTCTCTGTCATTCTATGACCACATTCTTCTTCATTTTTAAAGCACTTTTTGGGCACTGAAATAGTCTTGTTTGTCCCTCCTGTGCGTTCCAAGAGAGTGGGATCTTATCCGTTTGTTCATCAGCACATTCCTTGAGTCTACACCGTGTTTAGAACAGGTCAGCACTTAAAAATATTTCTTGAATACTGAAAAACAAACAGAAAACCCCAACAAAAATGGATCATTCCTCTATGCTATACTTTCTTCTAAGTATCCACATTTCTTTTTGTGCACGTCTCTGAATCTTTCTCTGTGGTTACTTCTCTGTCTCTGAGGGGGTTTTTGTTTGGGTATCTCTGAGACTTCTCTCCTTTGATTTGTGCATCTTTTTGTCAGTCTCTCTCCTGCCCCTTTTTCTCTCCTCTCTGGATCACCTTCCTGTGTCTTTGACTTTTTCTCTATGTCTCTGCGACTCACCTAGCTTTGGTCTCTTCTGCCCTGCCCCCACCTCCCCTCTTCCTCCTCCTCACCCTCCATCTCTTTCTTGCTGTTTGGTCTTCCAACTGTAGAATCCACTATGCCCTCTCCAGTTCTGTTCCCCTTCTCCACTGAAGAAACCCCCATCACCACATTTGTCTTTTTAAACTCCACCTCTCCCTGTCTCTCTTTTCTCCATTTATCATTCTCCCCACACTAAGCTCTTTTCTGTCTCAATAACTTGTATTCCTTTCCCTACATTTTCCAGCATCTCTCCCTGAAACTGCCCACACAGAATTCCTCCCAGGTCCCCTGACCTCTAAGCAAAAAACTCCCCTTTCTAAGCTTTCTACACAGCCCCTAGAGGGAAATTCCTAATACCTAGATCTGATCCCATCCTCAGTTCCACCCTTCTGATGCCCCACGATCTCAAGATAAAGGCTTTCGAAGCCCCTGGCAGCATGGCGTTATTGCGATCCACTTCCTCCACTGCACTCTGTGTCTGTCTGCACCAGACTGGGAGCCCCTTGAGGATCAAAATCATCCCTACACTCCTAGCATGACCCAGCATCACACGGGAGACCTCAGCAATTTGCTGAGCAAATGAAGGGAAACTATCCCTTCTGCCTTCTCAATGACCTTCAAATCCATTCCCTCCTCTCCACCCCCACAGCCCTTACCCAACTCAACTGCCATCCTCTCTCACTGCCCTTGGAACAAAGCCCAAACTCCTCAGCCTGAAACTCAGGCACCTTTAGACTCTGGCTTGTAGCTACTTCTCCAGCCGCACCTCCCACTCTCACCTTGTCTTCAGCATCCAGAGCTAAGCACTGTCCCCAGTACCTCAAGCTGTTCCACTTCCCCAGGTTTTTGCCCAAGTTGTTCTTTTGCCTGGAGCATCTCCTTCATCACTTGGCAGACACTTACTCATCCTTTTAAAACCTGGACTGCCATCATGTTCTACAGGAAGTTTCCGCTGCATACTGCCCACTCCTGGTCACTCTGTCCTCTGTGTTCCACGGTGCCCATTGTGGTCCCTGTTACAGCACCCACCGATTGCTCTGCCTGGATTGCAGTTTTTGACTATGTGCTCCTTGAAAATAAGGTTGGGTAGGGCCTCTTTTACCTCTGGGATCTGCATCCTAACACACCGCCTAGTACATTAGCAGATGCTCAAAAATGCCAATGAATGTCACTTGATGAATGGCTGAATTAATGAATGAGTGCAACATGAATCTCTAAGTCCCAGTGCTTCTCCTGTCTGTGCTTCAGTATTTGTGTAATTATGTGCTTCATCACAAGAGAATGTGAGTTTCAAGGGCCAGTGGCTGTGTTTGATGCTATATTTCAGCGTGTCTGCCTCTTACTCTTGTCTTCAAGTTCCTGTCTTCCCTTCTTGCACCATTCATGTTACACTCCGTTTGAAGCCATTCCATGGCCACTGTCCCCCCTTAGAATACAAGCTGATCTAACATGTAAGTCTCTTCACAATTTGTCCCTCTGTACCCTCCAGCCTCATCCTGTTCCATCAGCACCTAGCTCACTACACTTCAGTGCACTCTGGAGGCGCCTTCCTGCCCCAGGGCCTTTGCATATGCTGTTTTCTGTCTGGGACACTTCGTCCCAGCTTCACCTGACTGACTCTTTGTGATCCTTATAGTGTCAGCTGAAATAGCTTTTGCTCTTATGCTGGGTTAAGCACCCCCCTACCATGGAGCATTTCTCAGCATCTCAGATTTCTCCTACCACCTAATTGTAATGTATTGTGTATGTTCTTGATTCTTTAATTAATCTGTCTCATGCACAAGATGTGAACTCTGTGACAATGTCAGGGACCCTGTTTTCTTCCCTTCTGTATCCTCAGCATTCAGCACAATATCTAGCACTTAAGCACAGGAATAAATTGCTGGTAATGAATGAATGAGTCCCTTTTTGTGTCTGAGTTTATGTCCCCTTCCCCAGTGCCTTCTTATGTACCACCACTGGCACACAGCAGGTGCTTAAAAAACCCTTGTGGAGGGCCGGCCCGTGGCTCACTCAGGAGAGTGTGGTGCTGATAACACCAAGGCCATGGGTTTGGACCCCTATATAGGGATGACCGGTTCGCTCATTTTGGAGAGCGCAGTGCTGACAACACCAAGTGGAGGGTTAAGATCCCCTTACCGGTCATCTTTAAAAAAAAAACCTTTGTGGAAAAATGAATGAAAAAGTGAATGAATGCCTACGTCCATCCCTGGTCTCTGCCTTTCTGCATCTCTTTATCTTTCTGCCTCTTTATATAGTGCATACATATAGTTTGTAGATATAACTATATATTCATGTGTTTTGGTCCCCTCTCCAGGAGTTGGGCTGGGCTGGGCTGGGAGTCCCTCCCTCCCTTCCCCCCGCCCCGCCCCACATGCACACAGCAAAACATTAAAAATAAAAATCTCAAAACTGCAAAAAACACCACGGCCCTCCCCCCTCCCCCTAAATCCCACAAAAAAATAAAACACAACCTTCCCTCACGATGGCCTCCTCCCTTCTTCCCCCTCCATCGGGGTCCCTGCTTCGTAGGGTGAGGGGAAGCGCCCCCCCACGCCCCAGGGCTGGGGCGTGGGGGTGCGGGGGGAAGGCCAAGCAGTCTCCAGCGCGCTCACGGGGAAGAGCGGGGGCGCCACCGACCCCCGGCAGCCAGCCTCGTTGCACGCGCGCCCGCGCACGCGCCCCGGACACGCCCCCTCGGCTCCCCCGCCGCGCCCCTACACGGGCGTGGTTTTCCTGTTGAGCGTGTTGGTGTTGGAGGCGGCGGCCTCCTTGGCCAGGGTCCCGGGAGCGGGCGCGGCGGGCGCGGGCGGCGCGGGCGCGG